AAAAAAAAATTTCGCTGCTTCAATATTAGAGATTTTGCGGAGAAAGGGGAGAACCTCCCAACCTCCGTACTGTATGATGTATTGGGGGGGGGGGGAATTCTTTTGACTATTTGATTACTTTCCTTTTATTTAAGCCATTCCGAATATTATTCCTTAGAAAGCTAATATGTGTAAAAACACACCCATTTTTTGGAAGTTTATCTATACTTCACCAGTTACTGCAACTATATTATTATAAATATTCATGCATATACTCATAATATAAGCATGACGATCATAATAAACTGACCACGCGGAACGAGAATGCAAATTATTAAAATCTTGACAGAAATTCAAACGTGTGTAGTATTTGGATGGGAGGAAAAGAATACCGAATGTACCGAATTTTCTACCGTTTTCCCAGTTCTTTGACCAATAGAACGACGTGCACCTGTCTGTACTCTCGCGCGTACCATAGGTTACGTTAATGCAGAGAAAGGGGGGGGGAAAGCAATTTCCGGGAGTATGATTCACCATCTGACGTTGCATATAAGGAAGAAAAGTTAGTTTCCGCTTTGGTACGGGGGAAAATGCGCGTTCATTAAAAAAAAGCACTAAAAACAAAAAATAAGGGCTTTACAGAAAAAGTAAGCACCTATAAGGGCCTTTATATTTTATTTTCAAATATAAGGACTTATAAGCACTTGTAAGGACCGCTACGAACCCTGAAAGAAGTGAAAAATAATGCAAATTCGAAAACTTTTGCAAAAAAGAAATGCGGTGCTAATAAAAAAGCATGCAACGACAGCAAAACATGATGTTAATATAACTTTTGAACAGTGATTTATAGGTCAATGTGGTCCGGTTCATTGGTCTGCCAGATCACTGAACCTATCATGCACAGATTTCTTCTTCTGGGGTCACATGGTGTACAAAATGCCCATTCCTTCAGTTGAAGACCTCATCGCTTGAATATCTATAGCTGCCATCGCTTGAATATTTATAGCACCTAAGGATAGGTGACATGCCAGGAATCTTCCACAACGTAAGGAATTCTGGTCGTAATTTCAAACACCTGTAGAAGTAAAAATTTTCAATAAAATATTTTCTATTCTTTTTCTCTGCTCTTTTGCACCATAGCTTGCAACTATGGCATTCGCGACCCTGAATTCTTAAGTGATTCCGAGTCATCTCTGTACACCGTACACACCCGACAAGTTTGTTGATCTAGTAGCGAATCATCCTGTATGAACTTTATTTCTATTTCTACATTTAAATTTCTTTCTCCCACCAATTTTAATCTTATCTTCAATTGGCTGTGTTTACTATTTTTCATTACTAGATTGCTACTTCGTCCTCTAAGTAAGTTTTAAGTTCATGTTCTTGGTTTATTTTTGTTTTTTATTTTAATTTTAAATTCAGAAAAAGGATCTAATTTTATTCTTTTACTTGATTTCACAATGAATTTTCCTTGCATCGAGGAGGACTTGAAAAATTTTCAGATGAACTGTTATTAATTAAAAATAGACGATTTTGAATACAGAAATGCAATGGTTTGCAAGTGGAAGGGGGACTGTAATTGTATCCTTCTTCTTGATAACATTACATGAGATTTAATTGAATTCTTCTTCTTTATTTATTTTCCTGCTTTTGGTATATATTTTCATAATTTTTAAGTTTTAATTTCACATTTCTTTAACTCTTATTTTGTATACTTATAGGCTATTTTGAAATTTATTGGTGTTCAGTTTCACTTATTTTGGGTCTTTGTGTAAAATAGGTTCTACATTTCTTACTTTTTGTCTACATATATGTTTAGTACCACCAATTGCAATAAAAAGGGAAAGTGCACAACTAGACATTATAGCAATTCTATACATAAAATTTCAATTTTTTATGGCTAATTACTCCAGTTATGCGAGATATACGTATATACATACATATTTTCATACGGGCATTGCAAAAAAATCCCTTTTACAATCTGTTTGAAAAAAGGGCCCATTATTTTGTGCGTATGTAATCAAGCAAAAAAAAAAAAAAAAAAAAAAAAAAATTAAATAAATTCAGGAAATGTCAAAATGGATATTTCTATTGAAATATGGCACCTGAAATTTATGTACAAACATGATCATAAAATCCCGTTTTAATAAATTTTATAATCCACTTTGGAAAAAAATGTCCGTTACTCTAAGCATATGTACAAGACACGATGCAAAAAAATCATTTAAGTGGATTCTTAAACAGTCAAAATGGATATTTCCCTTAAAGTATGACACATAAAATTTTTTGTGATTACATTAATTCCTTTACTTCGTACAAAGAAGTGAAAAATAATGCAAATTCGAAAACTTTTGCAAAAAAGAAATGTGGTGCTAATAAAAAAGAATGCAACGACAGCAAAACATGATGTTAATATAAAAACACATGGTGAAGTATATACATATGGACATGTGGCAATATTTTGGCAAAATATGTCTCAGGAGTAGAGTAGACTTTAAGGTACCCCTTGTATTATGGCGAAGTTGTTGTTTGATTTATCGCCAAGTTGTTTGATTTATTGCCAAGTTGTTGTTTGATTTATGGTAACCTGAGTAGTTGAATGTTATGGAAACCCTATTGTGACATAATTGGGTGTATGATTCTGGGAAATTTTGAATCGTGGGATGTTTTGTAAGCGTTTTTGTGGTGTGCGTTAGTTTGATTCTTTAGACGGTAGAATGGTCGAATGTAGTAAGATTAATTTGAAGTTTCTGTACGATTTGGAGCGAAAGGGGAAAAGAGCTTTAATTGGCTGGTGTGTATATGAAGGTTTACTTAGTAGCCATTATAAGTGTCCTGTATGTAGGAAGGATATGCGTTTAGTCGAACGTTAAAAACCGTTTAGATGGATTTGAATGGGTTTGTAGGACGAAAGGTTCAGATGGTCACTATGTGAAGCGTTCGATCAGAAAGAGTACCTGGTTTGAAAAAAGTCATTTGAGTATGATTGATATTTTGATTTTTACGTGGCTCTGGGTGTACAAAGCGAACTCGAAAATCATGGTAAGTGAATATTTGCTTTTGGTAGTGCTTAAACGTATAACATGCTTTTTTTTTTCTTTTTTATGTTATTTTATTGTTTGGTTTAAAATGTATTTTATTGAAATTATGTATTTTTTGTTTGCCTATATTGTTGAATTTGTTGCTTCTTTGACTTTTTAAGTGAAAATATATCAATGTGTACATGGACAAAGTAAATGGAGTGCGCAATGCAAGTTTGTGCAATTCTGGGATTTTTTTTTAAGTGAAAATATGTCGACGTGCACATGGATAATGTCAAAGGAGTGCGCAATGCCAATTTTGTGCAATTCGGGTTTTTTTTTTTTTTTAGTGAAAATAAGTTTATGTGTACATGGATACCGAGTTTGTGCAATTGTTTGTCTTGTTATTTTGGCTTTGTGTACCGGCGATTTTTTGGCACAAAAATCGCCGCTTCGCAAGCCAAAATAACGAGTCAAAGAATTGCACAAAATCGGTACCCATGTACCCCCAAAAATCGCCAAGGGGTACCCTAAACTATACTTTCACCTGTCTCGGTTGATCAGCATTTCAATATCAGGGATGCTAACCTCCAATCTCATGATACAACGGCACTACTATATAGTGCACGCTAGCTAGGCTTGATGATGGTAGCTGCAAATTTGAAGATTTTCAGATGCTGCAAACAAAAAGCAAATTTTCCAAGTAATAGAATTTATGAAGAAATGTGAAGTGATGGTTAAATGAAGATGATATCTAACAAAAGTTTTACATTGCAATACGAATGCCTTAATCATCAATCAAGTAATAGACGGCAAAATCTGCAGTATGATTCTAAATCCAGAAAATATTACTTAACCACTTTTTCTGATAGTAAAGAAAGTGACAAAAGGGTTGCTGAGAACAAAAAAAAAAATTTTCAACTGACAATTTAATGGGAATTCTTGACATTGCAATTACAAGACTTGAACAACGTAACTGGAAACTGAACATGGAATTATGTTTATATTTAGAATTAAAGAGAAAGCGTTAGTACAAAAAACTAAGCAACTTAAACAACTTACATTGAAAGAAAAGTTTAATAAAGCAAACATATAAATATGGATTTTTTTTTGTTGTGATTTCCTTAAGATCATAAGTGCTTTATTATTTCATAAACAACTATTTCATATTTTTTATTTTATAAATTCTACATGTGATCTTACTTGATCAAATCAACATCTTATTTGATTTTAACTTTATATTTTATACTTGCCATCTTATTTACATCTAATTTTAATGCCCACTTTGTGCCCTTCTCAAACTAAGTGTAATAAAAAAATGCATTTTTTAGCTTTTAAGAAGTCAGATCTGAACTTCTACTGTCATACTACTCCTTGATTTCACTATGGAGCACACAGTGTCCACTATAAATCTGAAGCCTTTCATAAGACTAGATGATGGCTTAATGATGGTGCAAATCTTCAGAGGGACGGGACAAGCTAAAAGTTGCTTTGTCTGGTGATATAGTTCCTGATAAAGTTGAGCACTGAAAACTTTTGTGAACAACAGTGAGTTATCCCTTTAATGGCCAAGCCTAAAGGAGTTACATTAACATTTTTATTTAATTCTTAAGGGAACAGAAAGGGAGTGCTTGTACAACAGAGGAACCTTTCCTTCTTGAGGGTATTTAAATTAACATAACATTAAATTTAAACTAGTCAGAAACTACACATATAAAATAGACTACTTAAGCTGGCTCAGGATAACTACTACGCGTATGTCAAACATCGGCTACCAAGATGTTACGGACAAAACTAGCAATAATAACAAAAGCAAGACGAGACGAGACTGCCATAAGCTTTAGCATTCAAACCCCTCAGCTTAAACACATAATAACTAATTTGCATTTTGATGAGAACTATAGAAAGAAGTTACAGTAAAGGTTACAGTATAGTATATAAGTTACAGTAATAGTTATAGTATCATAATTAACTGTCTGATTAGCATAAAACCTTATATACTTTCCGATTATCCCTCTCCACATCAAGATTATCCAATAATATTATTGTAAAATATCCAGGTTTCTTCATGACTGCAATTCTCTCGGAAATGTGTCACACTGCAGATATACAAAAAACACATACTGGAAATTATTTAATTATTTGGTATACGCCTCAGCCCCGAAATTCACTTAAATACTGAAAAGAGTTTATGCAATTCATAGATAGCAGAAGAATAACGATGGAATAATAATTACCTCGCACAAACAAATTTGAAAGTGGAAAAAAAAATTATTGCGTTCCACACGGAGAAGTACCAGATTCGAAACTTTTTGTTTACTTACAAGATGCAAGGTTTAGATATTAATATCTGAAAGATAGAAATTCGTAAAATAATACATTACTATTTTGTTTTCGTAAAAGCTACTTTCCTTAGTTATTACGGGAGTAATATTTATGTATTATAAATTAATTAACATTAAGAACTAAAATATTATTTTTAAGAATAAAATAACTATTAATAACAGCCATAGAATAATACTTACTTTTAAAGAGAAATTTTTGAGTGGCATCTGTGTATTTAAAATTTTATGTTTGAAAAAAACATTAAAAAAAATAAAACCACTGTTTCAAAGCAATATTATATTTAACAAGTGGCAACAGTGTGTCTGGGAAATTTAAGTATTTGTTGTATACCGTTAAGAAAAGTTATGTTAAATGTTAAATAACATATTTGAAATGGAAAATAAGAGATCTGTAGAAAAGCAGGAATCGTTGCCCTCATGTCCAGGATCAAATTTAGACAATAATGCATCCAGTGTATTATCCTCAATTACGCATCCTTCAGTACGTTCAAGACAATATCTTAAAACAATTTTTGAAAAAATTAATAGTGGTGATAATGTTCTTAGTCGCATTCCATCTCGTCTTGATCCAAACATTCAATTCAGTGATGATGACGAAAGTGAGGACGAAGATAACAGAAACAAAAGTCCTGATACTTTTGAAGAAATCAAATTAAAAAAAGAAGTTTCAGAAGCTGCGAAAACACCTACGTTGCCACAGCTGTCATGTGAACTATTCAAAGCTGATAAATATGCACGCGTTTTGCCTCCAAATTCAAATCTAAAAAGCAGTTTATATTATTCAAAGAACAGTGCTCCTATTTTACCTGTCTCTAAACCATTGACCTTTAAACATGATGTTTCAAATGTACGGAATCTATTGCCACAAAGTGAAATTAAACTTAATAAAATGCATCGACATTTTTCTGAAAGAGGTGCAAAATTTAATCCTTTGGAGCAACCTGACATAAAAATGCGAATTCCACTTGCTCCAAGATCAGAATCATCATGCCTTAGTCTTGCAGTTAATGAAACAAACTCACTTCCTGTAGAGGTAATCAATGTTAATGGTAAATCATACAGTGTATTATCCCTTCTTGGATGTGGTGGGTCATGTAAAGTGTATTCTGTGTTTGATATAGAAAACAAAACATTGGTTGCTCTAAAACAAGTTCAATTAAAAAATACAGATCCATCATTACGAGAAGGATACAAAAAAGAAATAGAATATTTAAAAAAATTACAGAGTTCAAATAGGGTAATTAAAATGTATGATTATGAATACTGTGAAAATGAGATATTTTTGGTTCTTGAACATGGTGATATAGATTTTGCGAAATATATCCATAATGAAGCAAAACTGAAACGTTTATCTCCTTTAATGATAAAGTTCTACTGGGGTCAAATGTTAGAAGCTGTAGCTGACATCCACAAATATGGCATAATTCATTCAGATTTGAAACCAGCAAATTTTTTACTTGTTGCAGGAAACTTAAAACTGATTGACTTCGGTATTGCAGCATCAGTTCCTGATGATATGACAAGTACTTTTAGAGACACGCAAGTTGGAACTTTAAATTTTATATCCCCAGAAGCTATAACACAATTACAACCATCTAATAGCAAGCAAATGTGTTTTAAAGTAGGTGTGAAATCTGATGTTTGGTCTTTGGGTTGCATACTCTATTATTTAGTTTATAATGTTCCACCATTTCACAATTTTAAAACATTGATGCAAAAGGTGCATGCAATTACAAATCCAAGTTATGAAATTCCTTTTCCAGAAATTCCTGATAAATTATTATTGGATGTTTTGAAATCATGCTTGAAAAGAAATGTAAAAGAAAGAGCATCTGTAGAAGAACTTCTGAAACATCCTTATCTCAATGATGATCTAAGGAAACCACCTGAACAAAGTGATGCTTTAAAAAATGTCTTGGAACAGGTACAAGTGTTTACCCCTCGAAGAATGAGTGTTCTTGCAAAAGTTGTAAAAGAATTGTCAGAAAAAACAGATATATGAATTCAGAGCATGTTAAATCAAGCTCCAGATATTTAAGTTTGAACGAAGTGATGCTTTAAAAAACGTCTTGGGACAAGTGCAAGTGTTTAGCCATTGAAAAATACGTGTTTTGGCCAAAATTTGAAAAAGAATTATCTAAAAAGAAGAAGAAAAAGATATATGAATCCAAAGTATTTTTTTATTGAAAGCATATTAAAGCAAGCTTTAAATATTTAAGTGTGAACAAAGGGATGCTTTAAAACTTGTCTTAGAACAGGTGCAAGTTTTTATCCCTCGAAGAATGAGTTTTCTTGCAAAAGTTAGGAATGAATTATCAGAAAAACAGATATTTGAATTCAGAGCATTTTTTATTGAAATGATGGTAAAGCAACTTTAGATATTTTCCATTTTAATTCCCCAAAATTCATTTAAAGTTAAAAAAGAAAAGAAAACTAAATGGGGAAAAAAACCGAATTTTAAATATTTTCCTTTACCTAACGTTGTGAAGTAATGAATAAAAAAATTTTTAAGTTAATATTACTCATATCAAGACTGCTATAACTGTCACCCAATTAATCAAGAACTGTGCCTGGAGACAGTGGGAAATTCAGCCTCCCCCTTCCCCAAGACTCCAAGTTATTGCAAAACCAAGCAAGCCCTGTGGAATGGTTTTGGTACTGTACTGATATCATGAGCTATGAAATCAGCCTCATAATTTATTAGAATATAATAGTAATGTCTACCCATCCATTTTATTTGCTATATTTGTATTTAATTCTAAAGCTTTATAGTATTTTCACAAGGTTATTTTAACACATTTCATGATAATATTGAAAATTTAAGTAATCATGATGCTTTGCCAAGTCTCAGCTTTTAGTCTTTGATTCTTTGGATTTTCAGTTTCTAGTGAACTGAGTGTATTTCAGAAAGAGAGAATTTCTTGTTTATGTTTATTCAATTATTCCATTTCTTGGAGCAGAGACTGAAAGTTATTTGTATAATATGTTTTAAAATGTTTATTTCCAATCTTCCAGAATTTTGAATAACTTTCACTCCACTTAAATTTATAAAAGATCTTTTAAACCCAGAAAAGTATTTATATTAGTTTAAGAAATAAAATATGTAATTATAAAATCTTTATTTCTGTTGAAGTCTATGAAATTAATATTCAGCTAAATAATAGGGTGAAAATCTGAAGCAAATACTTCTTAAAACAGAATATATGTCTTCTACTTTTGATGGTATCTGCAAAAGCAAAAATAGATTGAAATATTCTGCATTTCTGGTCAATTTGAAGTATTGTTAAGTTTCTTTCTTAATTTGACTTGAACTTAAAGATTGCACTTATTTTGTATATAATTAAGTAAATTAGCAAATGATAACATATTTTAATCAAAAAACTAGTTGTATAAAACATTTCTTTTATTATTTCATAAATCAAAGAATATAACTTTTATGGAAAGATGTTGTAAACATCCTAGCTTTGTTGATTATTAACTAACAGTGATGTTATTAAATGCTGTACTACATTTTGTTTTATTAAATTAATTGTATTCAGGTTTTAATCAAAGTGAATAAATCATTTGTTGGGTTTTCTTCCACAAAGAACTTGTTGGTACTTTGCAGAAAACCCGTTCGTGACAGCACCCTTTTTGTCCCCTGGCTTGTGCAACGATAATGGTTTTAGTGATTAAATTTTGAAACAAAACATGATATAGAGCATATTTTAGTTAAATTTAGCATTTTAAACGTACATAGTGTGATATTAAGCAGCTTGTTAAACATGATAATTAGTATAATAAAATTGCTTTCCTTTTAAGGTTTTCTTCCAGAAAGAACCCATTGGTGACAGCACTTTTTTTGTCGCCAAGCTTGCCAACGGTAATGATTTTAGTAATATATTTTTTCGTTTTGAAATAAAACATGATAAAGAGCATATATAAATTAAATTCAGCATTTTTAACATGATACTTATTGTATAGTGCATATCGCCTTGAAAAACAAAGCCCCTCTCTTTTCTTTTTTACTTCAAAAACCTGCACCATTAAGTAAATTGCTGGAGATGCATTACCCGAACAAGATATAATTTTTCATTACATTTAAAATTTCTGTTAATGTATCTTGCTGTTATGTGTAACTTGACACGAAATAGGTATTCAAATAGATGATCAGTTAGATTTTCCTTATGAAGACCACTCTTTTGGTCTTCGTGTTCAATTCCGTCGCCTGGATATGTGTACCAGTTGCCAGAATAACAAAATTTGTAAAATGATTAACAGTTTGATGTACACTGCGAAAAAAGAAAAAAGGGACAGTTCTATACCTCTCGTTCTACTGGGCCGATTGACGAAATTCAAATTGCATTCTTCATGTCTCGAAAGCGCGACTTAGGATATATATTAGATTTATATATAGCATTATTCTAACATAGGTATTTTGACACAAATCAGACCTTTTTCCGAAATAACATACCAATTTTTTTACATATTTCGATTCTACGACTCAAATTATGCCAGACTGCCAAGTTTTGTAAAAATCGTATGAGTAGTTTTTAAAAAATTAGCTCTCAAAATTTTAGCTTCTCAGTGTTAATTGAATTTGGTATATATTTATTAATATCTCTTTTTTATGGAACGTTTTTTATTCTTCCTTTCGCATTTCGAAATTTAAGTTCATTCCAAATAAAATTCACCCATTTTTTATGATTTATTTTTAAATAATTTTTATAAATTTTTAGAAAAAAAATTTCAATTATGACCTGTAAAATTTTTATCATCATCTTAAAGTGGGTGTTTTACTAAGCATGCCTATAAGAAATTAGTTTTTTATTCCAAATTTTCTAAGATATACACGAATTTACATATTTTCGTCTTTTGAAATTTGGCATCCTTTTTTTTTTTTTTTTGAGCGATAGTAACACCATATATGGTTTTATGGATTTTGTTACAGTGAATTATCACAGCTATTTTTAACCTTAAATTTCAAATAAATTTTTATGGAGAATTAATTATATGAAATTATTTTCCTTAATGATGCGTGATAAATATTTATAATCTCTACATATAATAAAAGAAAGAGTGTCTGTGTGTCTTTCGTTTGCGCTGCGCGTAAGCTAATAGACCCACGGCTACGAAAGTTGGTACGTACCTGCATCTAGACAAGAGCCAGTGCACCTCGAAGCGATTTTTTTTAAACTCGAATTCGAATTTTTTTTATTTTATGTTTTGTAACGAAATCACGTCATTTTGAGACATAATGGGCTGTAGGAAAGCGAGATTTTACTCTACACACTCCATTTTCACATCGTCATGAAACGTAGGCACTTAGCTATTTTACGAACTTATAATAAATTTTGTGTTTCAATAAATCGATTTAATACGAATTTATTTAACAAAGTGAGCTTAACACCTTTTCAACGGGATTTTTTCTAAAAAAGTTTTTTTTTTTTAAATGTACAGTTTATTTTTCTTTGATTTTTGGACACGTTAAACTTTTATCCTTGCGACTGCTTTTAGTAAAAGAATTTTGGAAAAATGATAATATTTTGTATTTTTTTTTTTTTTTTTAAATTTTAAATGAAGCTTCCGAGTATACTTCTCCCATCTCACATCTTTAAAAATGTGATTTTGGCAACAATTTTCCTTTCTTATTGATGTTGATAGATTTTGGATGAAATCGCATCATTTTGAATAGTTTCATTCTTTTAGAAATATGGGTTTGGCAACAATTTTTCATCGTATTTCTTATGTCACTGTTTTTAAGAGATTGGCATATTTCATTGTCATTTTTTTATATATATAATACATTTTTATTGTTTTTTTTTTTTTTTTTTTTTTTTTTTTTGATAAAGTTGTTCTGCAGAGTATAAATCTGTGCGGAATTTTTGAGTTTCTTTCATATTATTTTTTGCTTATTTCACTGTTTGTAAGATATTGAAAAAGTTTTGCATGATTTTTTTTTTTTTTTCTTCAACGGAAAGTTGGTTAATTTTTTTATTAGGATAATTAATATTTGTATCAATGGATATAGCTTATTTCATTGTAATTTTTTTCTCTTGAAAATATAAGATAAAATATCATTAATTATACTTTGTTTTTCAGAATTTTTAGTTTTTTGTATTCTTTTATGTTATTTATTGCTCATTTTACTGTCTTTAAGATATTGAAAAGTTTTTGAGTGATTTTTTTAGGAAGCAAAGTTCTTAACCACCTTTATACCATTTGAGTTCTTAAGATATTACAAAGGGAAGTTGGTTAATTTATTTATTAGGATAATTAATATTTGTATTAAAAGATATTGCTTATTTCATTGTAATTTTGTTACACGTAATAACTATTTTTTTTATGAAGTTGTTCTGCAGAGTAAAATTCTACGCAGTTTTTAAATTTAACGTTTGGTGTTTCCTTCAGCCATTTTTCCGGTACATTTAAAAGCCAGCCGAAGGCTGGCAGCGAAGCTGCTAGTACTATATAAAAAGCTATCCTTTTTTAAAATTACACATATTTTTCAAAATTTTACCTATTTTTAAATATTTCTTTCCTTTTTTTTTTAATATTTGAAGAGTAAATTTTTACCTTCATCACATTATCGTCTGCTATTTTACTTTAACTTCATTTTAAATTGAATTATCTGAAACTGAGAAAATTTGATTGACGTTTATTTTCACAATGTTTTTAAGCAAACAGGACGTTGACAGTTTGGGTCCATTTCCCAGCTTTAAAAATATATATAAAAATATAAAATTTTATATTAATCCTCTTAGAAAGAATGGTTTAAAAAGTAATTTTCTCTTGTGTTGTAGATTATATAAAAAAAAAAAACATGTTCTTTACTATAGAAATGATTAGGCTTAAAAATCTAAATAATATAATTTAGATTGTTTGCACCTGATATAAGAATCGGGTCACTCTGTGGTACAGGATAAGCGCTGCTGGAGTGGTTGATTTCTTTCTCATTTAACAAAAATTTTTTAATTAAAACATTTATCCTTTGGACTTTGCTCTAAACTTTATTTATAGTTAAAATGTGTAGAAAATGAAAAGCTGTCTTCAGCTGAAACGCATTTGATGCAAGATATTTTAAAAAATTTGACAAGAATGCAAAATTAATGGAAGTGTAACAATCGAAAAATCTTAATATTCTTGTGTCAGCACAGAAAACAATAGAACATCATATCGTATCATAAATGGAACATCCCATGATTTCTCAGTCGAATTATTTTAAGATTCAGGAATTTATCCAGTGACGTTATAAGGTATTACTCCTGCCTTCTTAGCGTGCCTTTGTGGTGTAGTGGTCTGCACACACGGTGTGTATTCGAGAGGTCCATGATTCGATCCCCAGCGAGGGCATTGCTCATTTTTCATTTCCTCTGCTTCAAAAAAAAAAAAAAAAATACCTAATGTCTCTACAGTGGCACCCAAACTAAAAGGTGGTAAATGATGATTTTTCAGCACCAGGATTTGGTGACTGTATCCCCTAATTCCCATTTTCCCTTTTAAAAGGGAGGGAGCATATAAGGTATTTCTCCCGCCTTCGTGGTGTAGTAGTCTGCACACTCAGCTTGTATTCGAGAGGTCCGTGGTTCGATTCCTAGCGAGGGCATTGCTCATTTTTCAAGTCTCCTGCTTCCAAAAAACCCTAATGTCTTTAAAATGTATATGGATATCATCTAAAGACATTTTCCCTCTTGATGAAATCAGTCTTTCCTTTCATCTCATGCCTTCAAAATGTTTAGCCATTAAAGACTGATAAAGGCTCTGACCAAATACTGATGAAAAGGATTGAATTTGATTATTAAATTACGGCAAAGCAGGGCTATCTGCCTAAAAGGAAGGATGCCTTCGTGAAGAACTTTCTAAGGGAAACCAGCTGGCATACACGTGACACATGAGAAAAACCACAAGAACGCCCATGCAACCAGTCCGTTTGCCAGGATTCAAACTTCGGAGCGAACTACCAGTGTTCAGCGATTTTACTGCTTGGCCATTTGTGAGCTTTTATGAAATGGAAGGCAATAACTTTATTTAAAATGAATGTCAGAAATACCAATATTTTTCGAAAAGTCGGATGCTTTTTAATGATTTACTTGCAGAATGTATAAAGAAAAAAAGCAAGCCATTAAGAAGAAAAAAATAAATTTTGCATAAAATTTAGTATTTTTTTTAATTTAAAACTTATGATATTTGATTCTTGCGATTTCAGACATAAAATATTTGACTAAAATATGAATAACATTTTAAGAAACTAAATGTAGGATGATAAAATTGTGTAAAGCAATGGGAACAATGATAAAACTGTTTAAAGCAATGCATGCAAGTCATCCTAAGTTAAAATGTTACGATTATACATCTGTCTTATTTTATATATCCTTTTCTGAACGGAACATTGAAAGGCGTGTTAACTGTGCTTCACTGTAATTTCTGTTTTTAATATATGCAGTTTTCAAGCACATCGTAATCTGGGTTACAAAGTATTCTTCCGAAAGAAACTCAATTTAAATAAATAAAATCAAATTCTGAAAAATTTATATTAATAAATATATTTAAAATGCTCAGGCTGAATGAATAAATAGAAAATGTTAAAACTATTATCTGAAGAGACAATGTAACACAAACAAATAAAATAAAAGTCTAAAAATTTAAAAATTACCTAAAATAATAACTATGACTAAAAAATATAGTACAGTCAAAAGTCGTTAATTCGGACACCCATAATTCGGAATGATCTATAATCCGGACATCAAAACTAAAAACTTTCTGCGCATATGCCGCGTTGACACATGCACATAGGCGTTTACGCGTGCGCGTAAGACCTTTTACGACTGCGCATATCAGTGTGCGCAAGTGCAGAATAAGTTTTCGCGTGCGCGTTTTATGTATAATGGACGTATAAGCTAAAATTATCTAATTATCTATTTCAGTTAATGTTGATGATTGCGTTGTTCCTTAATTTTTCGAATTGGATCCGGCTTATTATTTTTTGCAGACTGTAAGAGCAATTTATAAAAGTAAGCTTAAACTTTCGATTATATCAATAGAATTTCCGATATATATATTGTTAATATGTAAAGGATCTAAAGCGAAAGTATGTTTTGAAATCCGAAATCTGTTTATCAATTTCACGCTGCTCGGCGGGGGGAACGCCGCGCCGCAGGCGGGCGCGTAATGAAATTGGAAATTGATTTGTCAGCACTATCCTTATCTTCAGCGCAGATGTTTTTATTGGCTTATAATTCCTTACCAAATGTAGTATTTCATCTCGATATGCTCCGTCTTTGATATGATTTAAAACAAGTTCCTGGTCATTATAATTCGCTTCCGATAGCGAAAAAAAGTAACAGAGGTTATTGAAAACGAAAAAATTTCGATTGACAAATTAGTCGGTGTTCTTGACACAGCAATTATAGGACTTGAACAGCGGAACTTTATAACTGAACAAGAAATTATGTCTGTTTAATAGAATTAAAGAGAAAGTATTATCACATGAAACGAAGCAAAACTTAAAACAACTTACATTAAAAGAAATGTTTAATAAAGTAAACAAATAAATATTAAGCTTTTTCTTTTTGAAAATTTTGATACCCTTTAGATAATAATTGTTCTTTATTTCATAAATTACGGTTTCATATTTTTAATTTTAGAATTTCTGCATGCCATCTTACGAGATTTAAACTGATGATCTATAATCCGGAAAAATCGATAATCCGGAATCGCCGAAGTCCCGACGAGTCCGGATTAACGACTTTTGACTGTATAAATAAAACTATTTGGAAAAAAAAAAAAGAGATGCACTTTTTATTTAAACTACGCAGTTCGAATGAGTAAATAGAAATTTTTAAAACAGTTATTTGAAAGAAACCACGCAACTTAAACAATTAAAATAAAATTTGAAAAAGAAAAAATTACTTCAAATAATAATAATAACAATTATAATTTAAAATCTAATATAAAGAAGGAACGATCGAGACTTTTTTTCCTCTCACGAAGGATGTGAAAATAGGATATGAATATAGGTTGCCACATATTAAGAAGTTCGCCAAGTGAACTATTTTTGGTGCAAACTGGAAAAAAAGAACCAACTTAAATTGTTGAATTTCTCCATAAATTTTGCACCAAATGTTACAAAAATTAATATTTAGGCATAATTTGAGTCGTAGAATCAAAATATGTAAATAAAATTGGTATGTGATTTCAGAAAAAGTCCGATTTTGTGCCACAATACTTGTTAGAATAGTGCTATATATGAAACTAATATATATCCTAAGTTGCGCTGTGGAGACATGAAGAACGCAATTTGAATTTCGTCAATCGGCCCAGTAGAACGGGAAATATCAAACTCTCCCTTTTTTTTTTTTTTTTTGGCGCAGTGTATATATAATACCTATGCTTGCATAAGAAAGAGTATGACTGCCATTCTTCAGTCATAGTAGTTGTTCCCTTTACCATGTTCTTCTTAATCAGTGAACCAGAATGTGGATCTGTTGTTTGCTGTGAACATGTTTTCAATGAAGGCAATAAACCTTTTGAAAGCCACCATTGACAATTTTCTTAATTAAATGAAAATAATTCCTTCTGTTATTTGTTAAAAAATTCAGAAAAGATAGCATGAAAATCAAACAAAATAATAGTGAATAAGTGAAGAATAAATTACACATGTAAAGGCAGACAATGAGTGCGATGCTACAACATTCAAAAGTACGAACAACAGTGTAAGGAAACAAATACAACATTAAAAGAATAGTTGCTACCTGAACCATTAATTCTGTTGGGGTACCTGATTTGAACTTTTACCGCTGTTGTTGACAATGTTTACATTTAACAGGTTCTTTGCAGAAGTGCTTCCCATTTGTCCATTTTCGACAATTTGCTGTTGATTTGGCTATTTTTATTTGTCAAAAATGGTCAATGGAAAAATTTAGAAGCACCAAATTTACTCAGAGTATAATTTTTTAAAGCATATTTACCTCCACTTTAAATTTTTTGGTAACTTATTGCACTAAAAATATAGTTAAGACTTTTTGGTAAACGTTTTTCCTTATTATAGCAGCCCTCAAAATTTAATTGCTGGTCAGCTGAGGTGTAAAGTGTAGTGAGGTATAAAAACACATGGTGAGATATCTCAATTGATTAACTATTCAATCTGGGGGGGTGCTATAATGAGGAAGTACCGACTTTTTCTTGACATTCTGTAATATATATGTGTATACCCAAATCATGATTGTTATGTGTGTGTGTGTTCATATCATTAATGGTAAACACACATTTATTCAGTTGAATGTTATGTGGAATTTTCACTACTCACTCTTAGAACAATGTATCAGTTTTATGTAGATATATTTTTTTATTATATTGTTTCATTTGTGCTTGTTTATAGGAAAAATGTATCCCTCATGATGTAAATATATATATTTTTAAATGAAAGACATTTTATCGTATATAATTATTTCATAAAATTATAAATGTAGATTTTTATATGATGCTTTCCCATTTTTCAACATCATCTTGGAATGGCCATTTTGAAATTCTCAATACAGCTCAAAATTTTTATGGGGTTTTTGCTTATTATTATTAGTATTTGTTGTAGTAATGACTTTGAAAATAAACTAATATATATTTTAACCATTTTAGTATATATAATTAATATTATATTTGAGTAATGTATTTTGAATGATAAAATATATATTGTGAGCACTTAAATGCATTTACTGCAGTGAAAACACACATAATTCATTCCCCTCTCAATGGCAGACCCTCGGCTAACTTCGGGTTGGCCACAACTAAGGCTAGAAATGGTGGTCACTGTATTGGAGGCACCTAATAGCTGGCTGCCTTTGCCTCCTATGAAGAAACAGTCAGTTACGACCATGCTGTCTCCAGAATTCGAACCTGAAACACATGGTGAGATATCTCAATTGATTAACTATTCAATCTGGGGGGGGTGCTATAATGAAGAAGTATCGACTTTTTCTTGACATTCTGTAATATATATGTGTATACCCAAATCATGATTGTTATGTGTGTGTGTGTGTATATATACATATCATTATTCGTAAACGCACAGTTATTCAGTTGAATGTTATATGGAATTTTTACTACTCACTCTTAGAACAATGTATCAATTTTATGTAGATATAATTTTCTGTTATATTGTTTCATTTGTACTTGTTTATGGGGAAAATGTATCCCTCATGATGTAAATATGTATACTTTTAAATGATAGACATTTTACCATGTATAATTATTTCATAAAATTATAAAATGTAGATTTTTATATGATGCTTTCCCATTTTCAACATCATCTTGGAATGGCCATTTTGAAATTCTCAATACAGCTCAAAATTCTAGGGGTTTTTGCTTATTATTATTAGTATTTGTTGTTGTAGTAATGACAGGACTTTGAAAATAAACTAATATATGTTTTAACCATTTTAGTATATATAATTAATATTATATTTGAGTAATGTATTTTGAGTGATAAAATATATATTGTGAGCAGTTAAATGCATTTACTGCAGTGCAAACACACATAATTCTTTCCCCTCCCAATGGCAGACCCTCGGCCAACTTCGGGTTGGCCACAACTAAGGCCAGAAATGGTGGTCACTGTATTGGAGGCACCTAATAGCTGGGCCGCCTTTGCCTCCTATGAAGGGACAGGCAGTTACGACCATGCCTTCTCCAGAATTCGAACCCAAGCCCTTTGGTATTGTACTCCACTTCCCTAACCAATATACCATCTGGGCAGCACACACATAAATATGCAATCTGGAGATTGTTAAAGTTAATAAATGTGTTATGCTTTGAGTTGTAAAAATTGAATAGTTGAAAGTATATATTATCCTAAAAATATATTTTCACATCTATTATTTTTCTTGACATATAAACAGCAAACAAGTCAGCATCACTTAGGAAGAGATATCCGAACATAGATTACATAACATAGAGAAAGCATTTGGTCCATTTTGATTCTTTATTAAAGTGGTGTTCATAGAAAAATACCAAACATTTAACAGCATTTGGCTGACCATATTTCCCGCCCTATTAAGATAAAAATATTAAAAAAAAATTCATTTTAAATCATTGTCATAAATCAATGGCTATAGCACTTCCCTGTTGATTAGTAGGTAGAAGATTCTGTTTTCAATTGCAGTAAAATTAGTGCTTTTCTGTTCCTAATGCCAAACAAACATTACCACAAAATCTAATTAGATGTTTAAATGAAAACATCAAAGAATTGCATAAATTCAGCATCTTGCATATTAAACATGATATATATACTAATTCAGAAGTCAAACATCATAAACAGCTATGTAATGATATATGAGGGCTATCCAGAAAGTAGATTACGTTTTGGAATAAAAAAATAAACAAGATATAGGAAACAAATTTTATTATATACAGATGAAAGCCACACTCAAATATTACTTTTCTACATAGTCACCATACAAATTAAGGCATTTATCGTAGCGATGTACGAGCTTGGAAATTCCTTCGTCGAAAAATTCGGCCGCCTGCGCCTTCAACCACTTCGTTACCTCTTCTTGCAGCTGTGCGTCGTCATCAAAACGCTGCATAGCCAGCCACTTCTTCATTGCTGGGAATAGGTGGAAGTCGCTCGGTGCAGGTCGGGACTGTACGGCGGATGAGGAAAAACAAACTCCCACTTAAAAGATTCAAGAACTTTACGAGTGACATTTGCCGTGTGGGGCCGGGCGTTGTCGTGAATCAACAAGATCTTAGAGCTCAACATTCCTCTGCGCTTGTTTTGAATTGCTCTTCTGAGTTTTGGAGAGAGTTTGGCAATACCTTTGAGAGTTTATTAGTGCCTCTTTCCAGGAAGTCCACCAAAATTACACCTTTCCTGTCCCAAAAAACAGTCGCCATCATCTTCCTTGCCGACATTGTTTGCATGCATTTCTTGGGTTTTTGGGGAGAACTTGTGTGCCCCCACTGTATTGATTGCAATTTCGTTTCACAGTTCACATGTTTCACCCATGTTTCGTCACCAGTAACGATGCGATCGAGTAAAGAGTCACCATCCTTATGGTAAGCGTCCAAAAGTTCAACGCTGCAGCCATTCGCTGATTTTTGTGGTCCTCTGTCAAGATTTTTGGAATCCATCTTGCACAAAACTTGTGGTTAACCAAGCTTTTCGCTGATGATTTCGTGCAACAAACTTCGCGAAATTTGTGGAAAAGGAAAACTCAAAAGAAAGTTCCGTTATTGTGAAATTTCGATTTTCACGGACTTTAGCATCGACTTTTTCGAGAAGTTCGGCGGTCACTATGCTGGGTCTCCCACTTCGATCTTCGTCGTGGAACATTGGTTCGGCCATTTTGAAATCTATGACCCACTGACGCACTCCACCTTCAGTGATAATGTTGTCCCCATACACTTCACGAAGCTGCCGATAGATTTCTATCGGTTTACAGTTTTTTGCAGTCAGAAACCTTATTACTGAGCGCAGCTCGCGGGATTTTCAATTAACGCAGACATTTCAAACCCTCACAGTATCTGAACGGAGCACAGCACGAACCTCTCACTAGCACGGCTAGATGCAGACTGAGCTGCGCAACGCTCTGACCCCAAGATGGCCGCGCTAGCCCCGCCCCTAGCGGACACAGACGGAAACGTAATCTACTTCCTGGATGGCCCTCGTATATATTATCATCACATAGCTGTTTATGATGTGATATAAGTAGACTACCACATTTAGTGATTGGCACCTTTTTAACAGAGAAGTACCATGAAATATTTACTATGTCATCCAGTAAAAACCTTACAGGTATTAAGTGAGCTGTCTCTTCATTAATATTATGCATTGGTTAGAATACTGTGCATAAGTCTCATAAAATTAGTTGTGATCAAAGCATTCATTTGCTAATAAAAATGTCTGAAGTTTAATCTCTCCTTAAACAAAATGTTTTGAAATTAATGCTGCAACTGCAATATTGTGATTGGAAATCTGTTTCGAAAAAAAGAAAAATTAAGGCATTTTAGTTACAACAGTAAAACTAGCTAAATTTTTTTCTTAATTGAAGAATCAAAAATTTAATATTTGTATATTACTTACATTAATCATCAAGATATTCAAAAATTCAACATTTCTCCCAAAGGACTTAAAAGACTATTAGCCCATATTCTGCTGTATAATGCACAGAAAAAAAAATAATATCTGAATTTATGGGTGCATGTTATATGCCAGATATAAAAACAATAGATTTAAAAATAAGGAAAAGATGCATAAAAAAAATTCGAACTCTACATACACCTAAATTCTGTTTACTTAATAAAAAATACCTTATGAACTTAAAAATTTTCATTATCAGATGACATGAAAAGTTCATCATATTTGCCTTCCATTATATCTTCAGGCATATCATCGAATTATGTTTCATCTTTACCATCATTGGTACTCTGTTTAATAAATAATCATCTTCCATTCCATCTGGATTGTTAGATATACAGTCAAAAGCCTTTAATCCGGACCTCAAAGCTGCAAACTTTCTGTGCATGCGTAAACACATAATACCTTTACGCATGCGCGTTTAATGTATAACGAACGGTATAAGCTAAGCTTAAATTATCTATTTCAGTTAATGTTGCAGATTGCATTGTTCCTTAACCTTCTAATTGGATCCGGCTTATTATTTTTTGCAGACTGTTAGAGCAATTTTATAAAAGTAAGCTTGAACTTTCGATTACCGTAATTTCCGGAAGAAAGGCCGCATCAGCCTTAAACGCCGCACTTGAGAAAAATGGCGGGAAAAAAATTAAAATTACACAGATACGCCGCATCAGCGTAAGCGCCGCAATAGATTAATTGCGCGTGACATCGTCGTGGGCCGTATAGATAAAAAAACTCAACCTAAGTCCTGATATATGACATACCAGTTAAGAAAAATGCATGAAATGAAACCATAACTCAAAAATAAATTAAAGGTAAGAAATGTATAGCTTCTATGCCGTTTAGAGACATTTTCAAAAATTTTCCACTCCCTGATTAAAAACTATCCAACAAGTACTTGTACCCAAACTGATGGGATCTGTATTTGGCAGAATACCAAGAAAAATCCATTCATGCTGAAGGGGAAATACGTCAGAGTTTGTTATTGCGAGGCAGGTGGAGTCGTGTCCACCTTTGAAAAAAATTGCAGAAAAGGCAGGGTGGGGAGAGGATAGGTCCTGGAAGATTCATGGAATGGCAGAGAAGAGACTATTCAAACTGATGAGAATGTTGATTTGAAAGGGGGAAGAATGTTATTGTTCTGAGATCTCGTTTAGGGTGAATAAGGCATGTAGGTCCGTTCAAGGGAAAGAATGTAAACAAAATAAGGTTTGCAAAAAGCAACTGAGTGGTCTTTTGTGTGGGAACAGCACCAGTCTATGCACAATGACAAGGCCATCCAAACTATGTACAATGACCATCATAGGAAATATTTTATTTTTAGTGCACCTAAACGCCACACCCACTGAAAATTTAAGTTTTAAACACGAAAACGCTGCGGCGTTTCTTCCAGAAATTACAGTAAGTCAAAAAGAATTTCCGATTCTGGAGCTGCCAAAGGATTTACAAAGCGAAAGCATGTTTCGGTGTCCATCAAACAAAATGTGGAATTGCTGCAAAAAATGGATAAAGGCATATCCTTTCTTTATCTAACCATTCCGAAATCTGTTTATCAATTTCACGCTGCTGCTCTGTGGATGGGAAGGGGGTATGCAGCGCCCAATGAACTGGTAGTTGATCTGTCAGCACTATCCTCTATCCTTCAGGGCAGATGTTTTTATTTTATTCAGACTTATAATTCATTTACTAAATGTAGTATTTCATCTCGATGTACTCCTTTGATATGATTTAAATCAAATTCCTCGTCATTATAAATATCACGAATACACAT